GGACCGGAAGGTCACTTTTAGTTTGGGGAGAGGCCAACATTACATGTCATTTGGAAGGGGTCGACCTATGCCTTTTAGTGCATATGAATATTCTGTTGATTACTCTGTATCGGGGGGTGTAAAAGGCACCTCTTGTTGTCCATAGGATATTGTGAGATTTCGCTAGGCGTCAAGCGATCTCTAGTATCCTGACCCTACTGTAGGGTAGCTGTTTTGCTGATGTGTTACATTGTTGAAAAAAAGTATTTTGTCCTGGTATTGAGTTTTTTTTTTCCACTGCTTCCATCATTTTGTGTAATTCTAGGGGGGTGAGTGTAACCTGGTTGAATTTATATGTTGTTATAATTACTCAAAATGTTTTTCTTTGGTTATTTGTATGGGTTCCTACCTGACTGAAAATCTCTGTTATTGTTTTAACTGTGTTACTTTAAGAACGGAAGCTCCTCCATTTTTGTTCCCCTCCTGGCCGCATGTGTGTCATCTGGTGTTTTTGAATCAAATCGGTCTGATCCAAAGTTATATGTATTTTGTATGCATCTTATCGTTTCTGCTTTTATTATCGAAAATAAGTTAATGATGTCTGAACTTAGGAGCCCAGCGGAACAAAGAAGACGAAACTGAAAACGGTAAAGGCTTTAGCCTCTGTTTGCAACACAATAAATTAATTGGCTTTGGTAAAGAATGGGAAAGAAGAGGGTCAAAGACAGGAGCGTCAGAGAGGATGAAGACGTTGAGTTCACAGGTCCATCCTGCAGACATATTAGAAAAGGCACTGACAAAACTCTCATAAAGAAACTATCTGATGTTTCTGATTGGACGAGATGTCAAGAATGCAAGCATGACGACAACAAAGAAAATATCAGTACGACCAAGTCAGAGGAATCTGAAGAGGAAATAGTTCCATTATGGATGTGCCTAAAATGTGGACATAGGGGATGTGGGAGAGATTCTGAGAGCCAGCATGCCATCAAGCATTATGAAACTCCACGCTCTGATCCACATTGCCTGGTGGTCGGTTTGGACAACTGGAGTGTGTGGTGTTACATATGTGATGACGAGGTCCAGTACTCGGGTACAGGGCAACTTGCACAGCTGCTGAACATCCTGAAAAAACAGATTTCTACAGACCCCATGAAGAGACCTCAGAAAAGAGTGAAAGAGGATGTGGATCTGATGGAAATTAAGCCAGAGACAGAAGCTGTAAACACAGAGAAAAGTGAGGACAATGAGAACAACGATGGCAGCAATAGGCGGAAGAAAAACATCAAAAAGGAGAATGCTATAAAACCCCAAAACCACAACACACCCAAAGAAAGCTGTAGTGTTCCAGTGAAAGGGCTGAGCAATCTTGGGAACACGTGTTTCTTTAACGCAGTCTTGCAGAATCTTTCTCAAACTCAACTCTTGAGACAAATTCTCAACAAAGTAACAGAAGAAAAAATGAGCCTCGACATTAAACCCGATGCCTCCTTGAATCTGGAGCCCATACTAGTGCAGTTAGACCAGCCTGGGTCACTCACATTGGCTATGTGTAAGCTACTCAATGAGATCCAGGAATCCAAAAGGGGTGTGGTAACGCCGCGTAAGTTGTTCACACAAGTTTGTAAAAAGGCTGCCAGGTTTAAAGGATTTCAGCAGCAAGACAGCCAGGAGCTTCTCCGCTACCTGCTGGATGGGATGAGAGCTGAGGAACTTAAAAGAGTTAGCATGGGAATAACAGAGAGCTTGAAACAGTCGAGGAAAGTTACAGATGAAGAAAAGATAAAAGCTGCAGTTAAAGAGTACGAGAAAAACGGAGTTCCTAAAAACTTTGTGGACCAGCTTTTTGGCGGTGAAATGACCAGCACAATAATGTGCCAGGAGTGCAAAACTGTGTCTGTTGTCACAGAGATGTTTTTGGATCTTTCCCTGCCTGTTTCTGATGAGGCGTAGAGAAAGAAAAACCCCAAAAAATTCACTGGTCCAAGGACCAGTGAATCAAGCCAAGATGAGAGAAATGGCTCTGATTTGATCAGCGGGAATGACGATTCTATGACCGGGGGCAGTAGCAAGTACCAGCAGAAAAAGGCTAAAAAGCAGGCAAAGAAGCAAGCAAAGCATCAGAAACGGCAGCACAAGCTAGAAACCAGGTTAACTTTTGGAAATTTGACATCTCCAAGCAACGCAGATGGTGACCAAATTGATGTTACTAAAGATGCAAAGGACACAGAGAACGCTGATCATATGCCACATAAGGAAGACTCACTGAACGAACAAGATCCTAAACCTGTTTGTGAATCAGAACAGGATCAGAATGTCGAGCAGGAGAACGAGGAAGACAAGGATTCACCCACTGACGATGTCTCATTAGCTGAATCGTCAGTCAGCAACCGTTTTACCTTCTTGTCAGAAGAGCAGCACTCGCACGACAGCACTTCATGTAACGAAACGTCCAACACGGATCTGGAAGGAGAACTGGACACGCAGTTGGCAAATCAAATGGAACAAGTGACTCTGAATGACGCATTCATAGAGGATCTCGATTCCATGGATCCAGCCATAGAGAGTGAAGACGAAATGGAATACACAATAATAAACCAAGACCCAGAGTTGGCCTTCAACACCCATGTGGAGGGATCGATGGGTCCCAGTGAAGGTTCTCAATCCAACAGATAAACCTCTGATACTGCGACGCAATGCTAAAATCGCTGATGTCTTCCCATGCTGTGGAGGACTTTGCGCTTGGCCGGGGGAAATCTGAACTGCACTGCAACCATTCTGCCGTTTCAGCAAGCTCATTGCATCGCAGTATTGATCCAGTGCAGATGCTGAGAGACTGTGGTCTACACGACATCGACATAGAGAGCTGTGAGGTGTCAGATGAGTCGAAAAGAAGGCTGGCTGAACTTGTGGTTTCTTATCAGGATGTGTTCTCCAGGGGAAAGCTGGACTGTGGTGAGGCTAGGGATTTTGTTCATCGCATTCACTTGACTGATGACTAGCCATTTCGCTTGCCTTATCGACGCATACCACCAGCACGTTATCAGCAGTTGAGGGAGGTCTTGTCTGAGATGGAGATGAAAGGCATCATACGGAAGTCCATTAGTGAATATGCCTCCCCACTCGTTATGGTGTGGAAAAAGTCTGGGGACATGAGGATATGCACTGATTTCCGCTGGCTTAATGCTAAGACCGTTAAGGATGCTCATCCATTGCCCCATCAGTCTGACTGCCTCGCTGCCCTTGGTGGGAATGCTCTTTTCAGCACCATGGACTTGACCTCTGGTTTCTACAACATCCCTCTCCATGAGTCTGACAAACATTATACAGCTTTTACCACACCGCTTGGACTTTATGAGTACAACCACCTCCCTCAAGGTTTATGCAACAGCCCGGCTTCTTTCATGAGGATGATGCTTAACGTTTTTGGTGACCTGAACTTTTCAAACCTTCTCTGCTATCTAGATGACCTGTTGGTGTTTGCACCTTCTGAGGAGGAGTCGTTAAAGAGGCTAGAGGTTGTTTTCTGTCGCCTGAGAGCTAACAACTTGAAGCTGGCCCAAAAAAAGTGTCACCTCCTCAGGAGGTCTGTGAGGTTCTTGGGCCATGTTGTGGAGGCTGGTGGTGTTTCTGTTGATCAAGAGAAGGTAAGGGTCATTTCTGGTTTTGAGAGAAAGGATCTCATGAAGGAGGATGGCTGCACTCCGTGCCAGAAGAAGGTGAGGTCATTCTTGGGCATGGTGCTGTTCTATCAGCACTTTATTCCAGCATGTTCCCGCATCGCAAAGCCACTTTACGCCCTCACCGCAGGTCAGAAACGTAGGGTAAAGAGCAAAGGACACGGGAAAGCTGGAACTTTCCGGGTTCTGACTCCCCAGGATTGGACTCCAGCCTGTGAAAAAGCATTTGGAGACCTTAAAACTGCTCTTCTCAGCTGTGTAGTGCTGGCATCCTGACTTTGAGAAGCCATTTATTCTCTCAACCGATGCTTCATTGGATGGCCTCGGTGCTGTCTTGTCGCAGGTCCCGGCTGGTGAAGAGATTGCTAGACCTGTAGCTTTTGCAAGCAAGTCTCTCAGCCGAAGTCAGGCCAATTATCCTGCACATAGGCTTGAGTTCCTAGCCTTAAAGTGGGCTGTGTGCGATAAGTTCAGTCACTGGCTGAAGGGTCACAAGTTCACTGTGTGGACGGATAATAATCCCCTCACATATATTCTGACCAAGCCCAAACTGGATGCCTGTGAACAGCACTGGGTCTCTAAGCTTGCTCCATATGCTTTTGAGATCAGGTATGTTCCAGGGAGACAGAATGTGGTGGCAGATGCTCTCAGCAGAGCCCCTTTTGTGAAACCTTTGGCCGATCGCCTTCTGTCAGAGCCTTGTCAGAAACTTTTAGAGCATGTCTGTGAGGTTCCTGATCATGCAGTGCAGGATGTTTTCCGTTTGACCTGTCAGCTTCAATCAGTGGACAGCTCTTTCCCCACTACAGCTGACACATCCATGACCTGTGATGAGGTCTCCTCTCTTTTGTCATCTGTCTGCAAAGGAGATACTGGTCAGGCCCAGCATGCAGCGTCGTTAGCTGATCATCTGGACATGATAATCCCACCCACCACAGGTCCATCAAAAGCTCTTCATCTAACTGACCTTGTCTCTCACCAGAGAAATGACCCTGTTGTTTCCAGAGTTGTCCTGTATGTTGAACGGGGACGCCGTCCGTCAAGGAGGGAACGCTTTGGTGAAAATCAACTGGCTTTGAAACTTCTGAAGCAATGGGATAAACTAACATTGCTGAATGGCGTTCTTTACCGTGTCATAAAAGACCCTCTGACAAAAGGTAAACGCTTCCAGTTTGTGGTCCCTGAAGCTTTGAAGTCTGTAGTTTTGACTGGTGTCCATGATAGTGCAGGTCACCAGGGCCAGCCACGAACATTCTCCTTGGCTCGTCATCGCTTCTTTTGGCATAACATGGAGAGAGATGTGCGAGATTATGTGAGGAAATGTCCCAGATGTGTCCTTAGTAAAACCCCAGAGCCTGCTGTGAGAGCCCCTCTGGAGAACATCAGGACCAGTGCTCCGATGGAGCTTGTGTGTATTGACTTCTGGTCGGCTGAGGACAGCAACAACAAGTCTGTGGATGTTCTGGTGATCACTGATCACTTCACAAAGTTAGCACATGCTTTCCCGTGTCAGGATCAAACCGCTAAACGAGTTGCAAAGAAGTTATGGGATGGGTTTTTCTGTGTTTATGGCTTCCCCCAGCGTATTCACTCGGACCAAGGCGCAAATTTTGAGAGTGAATTGCTTGCTGAGCTTTTGGAGTTGAGTGGTGTCAGCAAATCACACACCTCACCCTACCACCCAATGGGTAACGGGACCGCAGAGAGATTCAATCGCACCCTGGGCAACATGTTGAGATCTCTTCCTCCACGTTCGAAGCATAAATGGCCTCAGATGATCCAGTCTCTGACTTTTGTTTACAACTGCACAGTCCATGAGACCACTGGCTTTGCACCGTTCTATCTGATGTTTGGGAGGATTCCTAGGCTGCCTGTTGACCTCGTTTTTCGAAATGTTCTTCATGATGACACTATTTGTGACTACCACACTTATGTCAAATCACTGGTTGAAGATCTGCGCTCTGCCATGCTAATAGCTGAGAAGAGCACCAGTAAAGAGCAGAGACATCAACGTGACCAGTACAACAAGAGAGCCAAGGGTCACCCTCTGTCAGTTGGAGATCAGGTCTTGGTGGCAAACAAGGGAGCCAGAGGGAAGCGGAAGCTTTCTGATAAATGGGAGCCTGTGATCTACACGGTGGTTGCATCTAAACCTGCTCTCCATATCTACCATATTAGGGACCGTCACGGCAATGAGCGTGTGGTGCATCGCAACCTCCTTCTTGATGTGACCTTTTTACCTGTGGGGATGACATTGGATGGAAATGTGAACCACCATACTGACAGTGTGGTTAGAGTCCCCCCAGTTCCTGATTTATACGGAACAGAATGTTCCAGTGAGGCGCCTGATGCTGGTCCTGCTGAGCCTTCCCTACCTGAATCTCTACCCTGCAGTGATGCGGATGACCATACTGCTTCTTGGGTTCAGGATGTGTACTTGGCTCCATCAGGTGGGAATAGTGACCTGCCTCATGACCCTGAGAACTCCTCTATGGAAACTGGAGTACTAGCAACCGCTGGTTCCTTACCTCATCATCCTGATGATGCTGGTCCTGTTCATCCTCCAGACAGTGTGGAAGGGGATGTTGTTCGCCGCCTGACTTCACGCTTTGGGAGGGTTATTAAACCAGTTTGTCGACTGATAGAGTCCATGGCTGTTATTGAGGCACTTTATGATAAGAGTAATGTTCAAAATGTTATTGATGTGTGATTTCCAAATTTTTGCTGAATGATTCCTGGCTAGGATTGTTCTTTTCTGGGTTGTATAAGCTTCAGTACCATCTATATGTTCACTCTGTATCGGGGGGGTGTAAAAGGCACCTCTTGTTGTCCATAGGATATTGTGAGATTTCGCTAGGTGTCAAGCGATCTCTTGTATCCTGACCCTACTGTAGGGTAGCTGTTTTGCTGATGTGTTACATTGTTGAAAAAAGTATTTTGTCCTGGTATTGAGTTTTTTTTTTCCACTGCTTCCATCATTTTGTGTAATTCTAGGGGGGTGAGTGTAACCTGGTTGAATTTATATGTTGTTATAATTACTCAAAATGTTTTTCTTTGGTTATTTGTATGGGTTCCTACCTGACTGAAAATCTCTGTTATTGTTTTAACTGTGTTACTTTAAGAACGGAAGCCCTCCCCTTTTGTTTCTTCCTCTGTGGTATTGCCTTTAAAATGTTTCCGTCCCTTAGACCCTCCCCTTTTGTCATGTTGTCCTGTGGGAGAGGTGTGTATTATTTATTTTGTATCTAAATACATCCAGTTTATTTTAGATTTATTAAGTTAATTTCTGTTATGTACTTTTGTTTATGTAGGGCTTGGAGCGGGCAGCCTGTAACACGGTTATTTCTATTTGTTATTCTTGTCAGGTATGTTGTATAGAAAGGTTTATTTTGCATATTTAACATGTTGTGAGCTAAGACCCGCCTTTTGTCATGTTGTCCTGTGGGAGAGGGCTTGGAGCGGGCAGCCTGTAACACGGTTATTTCTATTTGTTATTCTTGTCAGAATAAACCCTTTTAAAGGTGAACCACGGCCTGATCATTTAAAACCAGCACAACGCAGATCGGATCCGGTTACATATACATATAGCATGTTTAGCTTTAAACAATAGATTCTAGATTGAAGGTAAGCTTCAACAACAGCAGAAAAAATTGTTGCAACCGCAACAAAAACAGAAAACAAATAGTAACCTCTGAACAGGAAGATGTTAGAAAAAGCTCAGAGTTGTCCAGAAGTCGTACGTGGAAGTTCTTCATCTGTCACATATGATCAGGAACTCGAACTACCGAACAAGAGCCAACCGGCTTTCTGATTGTTTCAAACCTGCAGCTTATGCGTTTCCTCATTTTTCTTCATGGATCTGAAGCATCTAGCTCTGACAACTACCTGTCCCTCGACAATATTGGACACTGCAGGCATGCAGGAGTAAAGCACAGTTTCAACATCAAGCGTCATCTAGTATCTCATAACTAAGTCCTAGCATGCTGTTTTTCACAAACTGTACTGGCAAATACATTTCAGAATGTAATCAGAATATAATTGAAAAGTTTAAATTATGTTTTTTGCCAATATTCCACGTAATTTAGTAAACTAAGTTAAGCTTCATTACGATGTTTGTGTAGTTAATATATTGTAGCTAGCGGTTAGCTCGCTACGCTACGTTTTTTCTTACCTTGATAGCGGTGGATATATTTTTCGTGGAAGAACTTGTATCCTTTCACACGTTTGTTGGTGGATGAATTAGCCGCTGCGATTTCCTCCGCATCAGCGAAAGAAAGGGCTGGCAAATTAAGTAAGGACGGAGGAGGAGAGCATTTCAGAGTACTTGAATTACAGTCACCAAAACAGGAAGTGCCGCAGCCCTTTCAGATATAGCTTTCGGTTGCCGTGAAAAAGGACTCGTTGTGCGCATGCGCGGGGCCAGAGCTGATGTGCGCATGCGCGGGGCCAGGGTGGTTGTGCGCATGCGCGGGGCCGGGGTGGTTGTGCGCATGCGCGGGGCCGGGGTGGTTGTGCGCATGCGCGGGGCCAGGGCTGATGTGCGCATGCGGGGTGGTTGTGCGCATGCGTGGGGCCGGGGTGGTTGTGCGCATGCGTGGGGCCAGAGCTGATGTGCGCATGCGCGGGGCCGTGGTTTTATAAAGCGGATGTGGGGTTGGACAACTTCCGGTGGCTATAGCGTTAGCATTAAAAGGCCAGGAAAATGGCTCAGTCTCGGCGCAGTTGTTTTTTTTCAGTCCCTGGTTGTTCATGTGGGGCAAGAAAACAGCCTTATCTGTCATATCATGCGTTCCCGACGGACCCGGACCAACGGAGGCAGTGGATCCAGGCGATCCAAAGAGATGAAGGTCCGTACTTTTGCATAAAGACGGGGAGGACTTTCGTATAGCCGCCACTTCACACCGGAGGATTTTATTAGCGGATCCACCACCAGCCGCCTTAAAAGTGGAGCTGTTCCTCCCCTGTTTGCCTGGAATAACTTCACTGCACCGGCAATGAGAGAGTCTGCTTTCGAGAGGGTGAAGAAACGGCAGTTTGTCCTCTCAGAAAACTAGCCAGGCTGAAGATGCTACTGCGGACCATGAGTACACGACACATCCAGCCGCAGGTAAAAGATAGTATATTGTATATATTTTCCATGTAAGATAATTTCAGTAAAATATAACTGTTGCTATAATAATATTATTACTATTATGATCACGTAATAATGAAATTATGAGATTAGGTGGTTATGTATTTTGTGGAGAGATTAAGTCAATGGCTGTATACATACATGCTCCCACTCACAAGATGTATTAATCTTCACAGAAGTAATGTTTCGTACATATAATTAAAACTTATTGCTAACCGTATGTTTTGATAATTTATTTTGTGGTTTTACAGGTGCACTTGATGAAGCTCTGGATGATATTAAGGAGTTGGATGCCAGACTTCAAAAAGTGGATTTGTCTGCCACACTTTTTAGCCGCTACTGTGCCTCTGATGACCAGATCCGGTTCTACACCAAATTTCCATCTGAATGTGTGTTATGGATCTTCTGGGAGTCCATTGCACCCTCTGCATCATGCCTGGTGTACTGAACCAGAGCACAGAAACTTGGAGAGGAAGCATGTGCTGAAGCCAGCCCATCACCTGGGCCAACTACCTCTTCATTGTGTTCTCTTCTATCAACCTGTGGATTAGTGGTGAGAAGGTAAAAGCCATTACGCCTCAGAAATTTCTGAAGTTCTCTCCAAATGTCCGTGTCATCTTGGATTGCACAGAAGTTGATCTGGAAACGCCATCATCCCTCACCTTACAGTCTGAAACGTTCTCTGCCTACAAGAACCACTCCACTCTGAAAAGGCTGATTGGAGTTGCTCCCTGTGGGTTGGTGACATTTATTTCAGCGTTGTACTCAGGCTGCATCTCCGGCAAAGAAATAACAAAGGTCAGTGGAATCCTTCCTCTGCTTGAGCTGGGAGATGAAGTCATGGCAGATAAAGGCTTGTAAAGCTTCCGGTTGCCGTAAAAAAGGGCTATTCGGCATATTTTTCCAACTTTGAACACAAGATGGCGATATAATATTCTGGCATTAAACAATCAACTTCAGCTGCGTTTTATAGAAAATACTTTGTACTTCTTGGGCTATATATATATATATATATATATATATATATATATATATATATATATATATATGCAACTGTGTTTTGATACGCTGATAAAAAATAACAGATTGAGGGCTTTAAAAGTGTGGTGATAATGGTAAGACTGTATTGGTATTGCAGCAAATGAAATAAAAACCTTTAAATTAGTTTTGATAAAAATAATGTGATAGCTTAGGCTTTGCCCAAGAAATGGTGTATGTGTAGCAAATAACTGACATGTTCAAGCTGAATGGAAAATGTACAAAATTTATCCCCATTTTTAGACACAAAGATTCTGAAATATAAACAACACAAGAACAAAGTTTTGCAGACATCAAGATCTGTGAGCTGAAAGTCATTTACAAATTTAGTACAAAGTCATGGTTTTGTTGTGTTCAAATGTTTCGTTGATGTGGTCTTTCCGACTTATTTAAATGTTATTCCAACTTCAGACATTTTCCCTTGGTACCACGTTGCTTGCTGCTCTCAGGCTGTTCTTTTCCCCTCTCAGTTTTTCTTTACTTACCAGAGACTGAAAAAATCGGAAATTATGTCTGTGAAACTGTTTTTCCAATTGTTTGACAATCTGTTTTAGCATGGATGTAAGTAAAGTTTGCATGAAACATTTAAAACTTGTTAAAGTTACAAATTTGGACTTAATTTGGAACTTTATCAAAGTTATGGAGTCAACACATTTTGAAATGAATGTATTCTATCTCAGATTGACGGCAACACATCACAGCCCAGGAACTATTGAGTTCTGTGGGAGAAGATTCAGGTTTGCATAATGGAAACAAGTCATTGGTAAACAAGTTTCTGCATCTCTCATCAAAATCACTGAAAGGAGAAACAAAGTGACTCAGAAAAATCTGTTTCTAGACTTGTTGTAATATTCCAAACTTCAGTGAAAAAAGACTGACAGAAACTGCCAGAAGAGATCACTTTTCGCTTGGCGTGTCCTCATTGGCTCCAGGTAAAGTTTAGAATGAAATTCAAAAGCCTGCATGCAATCTCGCGGTGACCGGCTTTGTATTTCCGAGCTTCACTTACTCAAAGGGAAGGCAGAACCTTCAGTTTTCAGATGTGCACGTAGTTCACTCTTCATGTCCTGCTGAGTGATGACCCATACTCACTAATTTGATGTTATTGATCCCCCATTTTATATGAACAAACTGCTGAGTCATTCCTGGTACGGAGGTCCATCTGCTGAGTCGGTAAAACATCTCTTCATCCATGACCTTATGTGACAAAATTTTTTATTGAAAATTAATTGGTACTAAAGAATTAATGAAAAGTTGGAATGGTTCATATTTCTAATGATCAGAAAGATGATGCATTTCACTCCATCAAATAACAACCAAAACAAATTAGGTCAAGGTTCACACTCAAATGGGTGTGTGGATGAAGAAATAAAGTTCTCCCTGCCAAGACCTTGTGTCCCACTAACCTTTAAGTGACGCAGTGATCCTATTAGAGGAGCAGCTTTATGATCTTTATTTATAGAGCAATGGAAATGATCTCTTTCTCAGAAGCGACTCGTGTTTGTGGCATTCGGCGTGCCAGGAGAGCGCGGCGGTGACAGGAGTCCAAATTGCTTAGTCTCGTTTCATGAGGCTGCAAGGGAGGGAAGCGACGGGAGGGGCTTCAGGCTGGTTGAAGCCGGACTCGTGAGGTGTTTACTGGACAGACCGTGTCTTCTAAGGTTACCCCCTC